ACCTTTCGTAGGCTCTGACTATCAAGCAGCATAGCAGCAAGTAGAAAGGCTGGTAAAATGTGTGAAGAGCTATATCAATGTTGCCTCTATAAATCTGCCAGCACATAACTACAGGTTTAAAACTATTCCCTGTCATGCACATAGTATTTTTATGCAAAATACGCCAGGAAAATATGCACAAACAAATGTATGAAGTCAAAGCCTTTTATAAGTTAGCAAATGATTGTATACCTGTAAAGATCTACAAGAAAAAGAAAAATAAAGAACCAAAGGTTTTGCTCAATATCTCAAAAATGTTGAAAGAGCCATATATATCTCTAATCTACCTGACTCAATTATTTGCATGTTTACAGGCACCCCCTGTGACTAACCAACATAAAACCATTGTAAAAATAGGTATGTTTTTTTCCCTAATGCATACAGCAAATGTATGAGATTTTAATTTAAATAGATTTGTCTACAAATCAATCCATTATTAGGAATGGGTTAGAGGAGGATTTATTTTGTCTTACACTTCACAATTTTTTCAAAAAGGGTCTTAAAAAACTTTCAGATTTGGTCTTTTTCTTACTTAAGATATCATTGGAGAATGTAGAAAGATATAAAGAAGTTAATTTCACAGTATGGAAACAGGCTGTGACACCATCACCAGGACATTTGAAGTCTTCTGTCTGTGATGAACAGGGAAAAACTGGAATTTTTCTCAATTTCTAAATTAATATCCTTTTTCTACCTCCCGTGGTGCATACTAGTTCACCATAGAGTTTTAGAATTGTTGGTTTTAATCCATCCTTCCCTAACAGTATAATAAAATGAATCAAATGACAACAAAGATTACAGAGGTCACACAGAACCCTCATAAGAAATAATATTTGCTGTTACCAATTCAAGCTGCTTTTAAGTGATAATTCATAGAATATGGCAACAACTATTTTTAAAATAACCAGGAAACCTTGGAGCACTTCTGGTAACATTATGGTTCTATTTAAAGATTCCAGCAAATATCCCATTTAGTGTTTTCCCTCAATCTCTTAAAACTCCATATTTTCAAACTTCTTAGGAGAAGGAAAAAAGAATCTAACTCATAAACAGAACCCTAAACCTACTATTTGCCAGTTTTTAATGGCTAGGTCTTTTTATTTTAAATTTTATTTGCATGCTTTAAGCTGAAAAAGTAGGCTAAAAATTTTCCCTGATGTTCTGCTCTTGCGTAATAGGCCTTGGTTAAGTTACACGACTATTTAAAAAAATAAGCATCAAGAAACTGCAAATAAAATGTTACTAAGAGAGGATCAAATCAAAATGTTAGTAAGAGAGGATCAAAAAAACCAATTTATAATATAAAGGTTCAGTACATACTAGAATTCCTTAAAATATAAAATAGGATTAGGAAAATTAAAATCTATTGCAGATTAACATGGAAGGGTCAGAATCTGATTTTTGATCTGTATTAAGCCCATGGATTTTAGTAAGGTGCATTAAAATTTATTGAAAGTGGCCTGTAGCATTTTCTTTTAAAAGGCTGATGAGACCTCTGAGACTCAAAGATACTGTCATTATCACAGGTCCAACTGACTTCAGCCTTTGACAGTACTTAAATGAAGTGGAATGAATGCACTTATCTCTGCTTCAGATTTGCAAAGCAAGTAGAAGTAGTTTGTGCTGGTCAATCTATAGCAAATAGTTTGATTTTTTATTAATTTAGCCTTCTAGCTTTCTGATATATTACTTTTATATATATATATATATATATATATATATATATATATATATATATATATATATGAGATACTGCTTGCCACTGTCTACTTTTGGATGAAATATGGGATTTGTCACATGGATTTCCTCTCAAATTTAGAGATTTTACTCACATAGTCCTCAGATTTTTCATGCTCAGGAAAAATTCTTTGAATAAATAATTGTTTGTATGTCTTCATGCAGAACAAAATTAAAGAGATCATGAATATTGATAGCAATAAATCTGTTTATTTTATTCCAACAATTGTCTGCAATTTTTGTTTTGATTCACAATATTCATTCAGCTTTTGATTCACAATATTCATTCAGCTGCAGTAGACATGAATATGGCACATTCCTTTTCTTGGCAAGACTGAGAACTGAAGGAAAGAAGCTTATCTGTCTCTAAAATATTTTAGGACCTTCAGCTAGTTTAAAGCTCAATCCAGGAGGTGCAGAATCCTTCCTGTGGAATGCTGGGCACAACATTGTCACTGGCTTTTGGGTCTGTGGGTACTCAGTCCTTCCAGGAGATGCTTCATGGCAATTTGTTTTCTATTAACATTTACAAACAATCTGAGATTACAATGTTGTCAGAATGTAAATGGCTTGTAAATACTTGTTGAAAGATATATACTAACATGGATTTTTCCAGGCCCATGGAAATAGTGGCTTCTTAGTAAAATGCAGGATTAGACCCTGGCACCACTCATTTTCAGCCAAGGTTTACAAACATGGATGCAGAGAGTACATCCTTCACAAAGGGGATGAGAAAATCCCTTCAAACTTTATTACACAAACAACACTTTTGGACGTGGAAGGCAAAGAACTCTTCTCAAAATTAAAGGGGTTTGATTATGAGGTAGGAAGTTGTTCTCTAGTCTTTGTTCCCTTAATATCAGTGTTTCCTATGATGGCTTAATATATCTGAGGCAAGCCTATCACTGCTGTGTTTAGGATAAGGAAAGAGAAAAGTGATCTATGAACATGAGAAATCTCATTGCTGAGAGACTAGATGGAAAAAAAATATTATTATGGAATCTGCTAGATGGTATATATAAAGGTAAGTCTGTTTCTAATATTTTTGCTTTAATGAACAAATTCTTCTTCAAATATACCTATTTAACTAATTTAATTTCATTTGTAAAAATGTAGCTCTTAAATTGTCAGTGATATGATAAAGCTAATTAAGACATGCATGGTGTTAACAGTTTCATTAGAGGAGATAATATTGCACAAGAAAAATAAGAAATCATTATGATGAATGTCTCAACATTACATTACATGTTAATGAAGTGTAAATGATCTAATTATTTTTGAAAGAATACAGATTCGATTAAACTGTCGGAATTAAATTGGAAAGGACAGCCTATTGTACTTTTTATGTACAGACAAGTTAGCGTTAATTAGGCACAATCTACGGGAACAAATGAGGCACAACCCTCCGTGAACAATCATGTATCCGTTGCTCAAGGCAGGTTTCATAAAGAAATATATTAGGGAAAAAATTGTAAGTCAATTAAATACAGTGCTTTAGCAGTGGGAGGGAAAATGAGCAAAATCTCTGTTCCCTCCCCCTACATTTTGAGTGTTTATAATGCAATCACTCTGTCTGTTCTGCTCCATCACTAATTTCATAAATACTAATTTTGCTGATGAGACATTTTGATTGGTTTGCCATTTACTTTCCACAAATGACTTTCTGGAGGCAGCATGGATTTTGGATGGAATTCTTTTTCTTTGGGCTCTGTTCTATGCTCTGACTTAAGGTAAGATAAGGATAACATGAAACTAGTAGGCCTTGCAGGTGAGGAAGAAAATATTACTCAACTACTCACTTCACCTGGATGTTCCTAAGGGACTGATAGTTATTATGTGAAATTTAGCCTAAATCAAACCTAATTTTAGTTTCCTTATGTTACATTTTCTCCCTGTTTTAAGAGCCCTCTAAAGACCCACATGCAACTCCAAACATGGTATTAAAATGCTTTGAGGAAACAAAATATCTATTTGATTAGCTCAAGCTGATTCAAAAGTCCTGGAGAATCTGGATATATCAGAAAGGCTCTTGTATACCTGGGTGTTTCATTCCAATGACGTTGAGTTTCAAGGCTGTCCAGTCTTGCACATTTAAGGCACACCAGCCTACTGACTTTTCATCTAGTTAAGGGAGATCTAAAAAGAAAACTATAAATCTGCTGATATTGTTATTACTCAGCTACTCTCAAAATTCAGTTGACCCCCATAAAGTCCAAGTGCATAAAGCAGAGCTGAACAAGTTGTTACGGCACATAAACTGTTGTTGAGCTCTATGCATTGTTACCTGTATACCTTGCTTGTAGGAGAGTTGTACCTTATTGACTGAGACTTCCTCAGTGTGCGGAAAAGAAATCATAAGCCTACTTGTGGTAGTCTGTTATTTTACAGTTTGTTCTTTTGTAGTAGGTTTTACACATTCCTTGTTATAAGTTGGTAGTGGTTCATTCCATGTACCCCATTTGTCTTCCCTAATGGTTCAGTTCTGAGTCACTTGTTTACCCCAAGATTCTCCCGCCAAGTGGATGTCAATCCACCTGTCAATCTCCTTGTAACTCCTTTGTTCCCTTCTGGAATGTTCCCTGTCCTTCATCCCTTCCTTGAAGCAAGATTGGGGTGCAAGGTTTTCTCCTTCCCCTTGTTGGTTTCTATTGGATAGCCCTTAGCCTGCACTCCTTCCCTGATGACTTCCTATTGACAAAAGGTTGAGTCCTCCCCTTACTCCTGCCTCTTCTTAAAAGCAGCTTTTTGCCCTCAGTTATTGTCACTTGTCCCTGAATCTTCTGAGGAAATAAACCTTCCTTGGAACTCAAAAAAGTGATCCCTCTCTATTCCTTTGCCTTGGTCCCTTATATTGGGTTGCTGCTGTGTCACCCACGCCACAGCCATGCTGTAACCGCAGCATGCAGTTACACCTATCCATCCTTATCCCCACACACTCCTTCTCCTTCCCCTCCTCCTTTTTTAAATGACTCTCCTTTTTCAATGCTTACACACAAAGCAATCTTTGTTCTAGTGCTCTACAAACTACATTTTTAGTAGTCACTTGCTTGTACACGTCCATGTGACATACACTAGAAATTCATTCATATCAAAGGTTATTCAGCATAACTTTACTCCAAAAATTACCATAACACAAATGAGATTATATGATTGAACACATAATTATTCAGGGATTTTAATTCTATATAACATCCTATAAAAAAATGAAAAATTAGTTATTATACTTGTTCCTGATTTTTTCAGCTGGTTCTCACTCCTGAGAAAGGCTGACGTCTGTCTTCCTATTGGCTCAGGGTACCAGTGTCGTTACTGGACCTGAAATGAGTACACAGAAGTTTGGTAATTTTAAAAGAGAAAAAGACCCAGTTTTATTCAAATATCTGGTATTTATAGAATTCTAAAGGTAACCGTGGATTGGAGGATGGAATTACCACCTCTCCAACCACACTGGTCTAAAGATCAAGCAATCATTTCTCTCCACCCACAGAGAAATATGTAAACTATTCTATTTATACATGAAATTGTGTGGGAACTCTGACTCTCAAATATGTTAACATTATCAGAAGGCTAAAGAAGTTTTATGAGAACTTTAAAACTTTCAAAAGAACTATAAAAGAAAACCAATTTAAAAATCAGGGCAACATACCAGGAGAGCACTGGGCAGCTGCTGATGACCTGGAGTACATCCACCTATTTTGCAATATCCAAAGATACGTGTCTTATGGAAGGAGAGAGCCATGCAGACCCAGATGGATCACCCCTTGGCAGTTGTGTGGATGAGTGGCAAAGCACACTGGTGTGCTGAGACGCCATTCTTAACAGATCAGATGCATCTTGTGGCTCTGAGCTCTGCTTGCTATGTAAAGGCTAATCTCCTCAACTTACATAAATACATTAATAAAGGCGGGACCTAATTTTCTGCAGTTAAAATACTGCAGTGTTAATGACCGTTTCCATCTGGTTTCAGTTATTCGATAAAATAAAAAGCAGAATAAATTCTATAAAATAAAATGCACCTAAAAGCACAATTAGTGATAAAAACCCATAGGCTGGGTAGCAGACATCTTTGTTGGAACCATCATAACTAATATGTATATAATCACTCCCATAAAACATAAAATATGGCATTTTGCCAGGAATTTATGAAGGTATTGAGGATTATTCTGTTACACCAAGTAGATAAGAGGATAATCAATTTCAGGTAACATTTGTTAATCTTGTGTACTATATAGTCACGTTTCAGTCTTTTGAAATTACTTTTGCCCATAATTATTTCTTCTCTCTACTTTATATAGCACAACAGAAAGCTATTCGCGTTTTGGTTTGAGATGTGATAATTAACCATAATATTCTTCTCATAGCTCCTACTGAGTCCACCCAAATTATGTAATTCTGTTAATCTCTGTTAATAATATAATCTCTATTAAACTGCACAGGCAGATCAGGAAGGAATAACAACATCCATGCAGTTGGTGTGAAACAAGCCACAAAACAGGGGTTGGATCCCGGGTTCAATGTAAACCCCAATTAGCCTTTGCACACCAGTTCTGAGACAACAGAAGAGCCACAGCCTTTTGCTCAGTGTTAGGAGGAAAACGGATTTCTCTCTTTACAGGCTGTCCTTCTGGATCACACAGAGCTGGTACCTTCGTACCAGAATCCTATGGGACTGGAGGTGGCTACCTGCAGCACCTGCCTTTCAGGCAGTGGCATCATCCAGTCTTACCTGTCACCCTGCTACTATTAAGGCAGACACCAAAAAAAGGTTTGTCTCTTTCTACATTGCACCAACAGAAATCTGTTGCACCACAGCCTCACTTCTCTGGAGTCTATGTCATCTGCTGGTTTCTGTTGTAAATGTTTTCTTAGGTGGGATATGCCCACTGGTTCTGTGTCAACATTGTCCTTAAGCTTTAAGAACTGTTCTTTTGTTAGTGTTTATGTTTCTGATCCATTTACAGAGACAATACTTCCCCTGCTCAGCTTTGTTTTACCTGTCTAAACATAGTTGGCTCTTCCATCTCTTTTCCTGAAGTGGGAATCTCCATTCTCCCGGTGACATAATGATCCTTCCAGGTACATCTTCTAGTCTGAGCTCATTTTTTTCAGACAAGGGTGATAACAACTGAACACAGCATTCTTGGTAATACAATAAGAACTTTGAATAACGTTGCTAAATGTATTAACTTTGATTTTCCATTAATCTTTCTCATATCCAGTTTTGGACTTCTGTTAGATTAGGTTCTATTAGGTTAACCCAAAATGCTGCAAAAAAAGGGGAAGAACAGAGAAAAAAGCACAAAGCTACAAAGAAACAAACATTATTATTGTCTGGATGTTAAAATCTTAGAATTGACTGCTCCTACTGTGCTTTACTAAATGCTAATGTAGATAATATAACCTAAGACATGAAAACTTTAGCAATAGTTGGGATCCGAGATTATGTTTCTCTTTTAACTACTAGTTTCTAATGTACTAGTTACTGTAAAGCTTCTGCCCCATTCATCCTCATATTCTGTTGCAAATGCATAGATACTATAAAAAACTGTCATTTTAAGTATTTAATTCTTACCCTTTCATTTTTTTATTTATCATTGTTATAATGGTAATCAAATTTATTGTCTTATTCATTTGAAATGTAATATGGGCTAACTAACTCAAAAGAGTAAGTTACATTTTTCAGATTGATGTTATTAATCCAACACATTCATTAATTCCCTGGATGAAACATAATATGTTAACTAAGCATTTATTTTATAAATATACAAATAAAATCCTAAAAAAACATTACTCAAAACTGCTTATCCTGAAATATCAGGATTCATCCAACAGCTTTTAAAACATTTTAAAATTTGATACAAATAATTAAAAATTAATATAATTCAACATTTTCAGGTTTCTAAGGGAGTATCATGTATCTGGGAGGACAGTTTGAGACCAACATTACCACAAACATTATGCACATTGAAATGAAGAATAAAACATTTACTTTTGTTGCATGTAGTACTGTAAAAAATCTACCAGCATTAAGTCAACAACATATACAGGTATTCAAATGGAGCTGTGTAAAGTCCTATATGTATTAGTTTCAGGCTACTAACAGAAACGTCTGATAATTTAAAAATAATTAATGTTTTACTTTCATATACATGTCAACAACTTGATTTCAAATGAATAATCTGAATATACTAAATGAAACAGTGAAAATTAGCTTTATATCTTCTAGATAGTAACTGTCTTCATGCAACATTTTTGAAGAGATCCAAACAGACAATCTTTGCATTTAGATTTACTGCTAAATATGGCTTGTTTAATAGCAAAGAAAATTGCAGAATTGGATATACAAGATTTCACTTGTGTTTATTAAATAATTTGCTGTATGAAATCAGGTCCAGCTAAACATATTATCTTATGTATTTTAAAAGCATATGCTTAATTTAATAGGAGTACTCAGGTTTCCTAGGTGATTTGAGGCTTTTCCATTTTTCCATTGCTTTGTTGGAAGTTTGTACATTCCACAGCCAAAAGCAGTGTATCTTGAAAAAGTATGAGATACCTTTAAAGCAGACCGAAAGAACGCACAGTTCAGAATCTGAAGGGAATTGCAATAAATATGTATACTTTGTTTACAAATATTTACACAAGCATCAGGTTTCTTCACCCAGAGTAACTTTTTTGCAACACTTCTGTATTCTAAGACTTCCTATTAATGAGACATGAAATCCACAAGCAATGTGATACCAAAGCATCAGCCACTTAATGAATTGCAATGTATTTGATTAAACGATATGAATAATTTGCATGTAGTAGGAAGTAATGGCCATCCAATTTGATGTGTATTAGTGTTTCAATTTCTCCTCACTGCCTCTATTTTCTCTGCAGTAAAAGCCCAGACACATTTTGTAGGAAACCAGCTCACTTTCCTACTGCATTTGTCAAAAGAGCCAAACTCCTGCAGGCCCTTTGCTAGAATGGACAATTTCAGGAGCTATAGTGACAATGAATAAAGAGGTCAAAGTACTTGACTGGATTTATGGTACATTAAGAGACTGCTGCAGCCATGGTGGTGGAATTAGGGCAGCCATTTAACTCAGCTACAGGGACCAAGATCCCAAGGTGAACATTTTGTGGTGAGTTGCAAAGTGTCTACAAAATATCTCTACAATCCACATGCTGTAATCTTTCTCAGCTTGGAGACTTCTAATAGGGTTAGTAGTAAAACTCTAATAAGATGATGGCCCTATATGGTATGTACTTTGAATCCCTTGAGAGCTTTTTACTTATCTGTAAGACATTCCCACAAGTTTAATTTTGAAAACCTCCAGTGTGGTAATGATTCCTCATGAACTATGATACTATTATATATACTCAGTAAGCTTTTAATATAACAGTCTCCACCTAAATGGATTTTCTCAATGGAAAACAGATTTATTTTTAACTTTATGACTTCTTATACTGTAATTTGATAACTATAATGCCAATAGGTTAATCATATTGATGAAGTACCCAGAGAGACTGTATTTAACACTGCTTACCCTGTGGAAAAGTAACCTGATTTACTGGAAACCTTTTCACCTTTAGTGGCAGGGGAATAACTGCTAGTTTGGCCCTGTGTTCAAACATATAATTCCATAGGCTGGCATGTAACCCAAAGGCAATATTACCACTGAAGGATTGATCTGAATTAACAAGCTTTAAAAAGGGGGAGGGGAGAGAGTACATGGAGAGGGAAAAGCAGGGAGAGACAAAGAGAGAGTTCTATGGCAGGCGAGTACACACTTGGTATCTTTCTTTGTATATGAAATTCTCTTTCAGATTGTTGTTTGGGCAAATTATTTCTGCTATGGAATCAAGATAATTGCTAGCTCCTTTGTAAGTTTTCTGAATTCACATGGTGGATATTAGCTGAGATTTTTATTTGTAAAGACCTGCACAAGATGAATGAAATGTTACTTAGTGCATGCATGTAGACTAACAAACAATTTCCTTCAGGAAAATAAAGGATCACTAGTAAATTTCTTTCTTCTGAAACATACAGCTAAAAGCAATTTATTCAGTAGTTTTACTGTGTATCCGGAGAACTTGCAGAGATCAAACTGAATGCAAAGGTGGCCTTCATTGCATCAGACCCTTATCTCTTTATGAATGCTCTTCATTGCAGCAGAAATCTTCTTAAACTCAGCACTGCTCTTTGGCATGCCTATGCTCACCAAAATACGTGATTACAGAAGCTGCAATACCTGCAGACTACTGGCCATTGGATTGTAGGATTGCCAGAAACTGAAAAGGATTGTTTGAAGTATCTCCCTCCTTGAAGCAAATCATATGTCAAAATAAATTTACTCTTCATTATCTAAGACATACTTTCTCTGGGAGATAGTCATCCTTGTAACACAGCCTGTACCTGAATTTTCAGGCATTGGTGAAATAGGTGCTTTATTAAATAATGCTGAATAACCTGGGTCGAAATCATGGGTATAACTGAGAGAGAGAAGAAAATTGTAGTAAGTGCTTATAAGGAACTTAATTACTCTAAAAACTGTTCTTAAGCTGCTTTTGTGCCTCATCTCTGCCTTCTGATGAGAAAATGAAAGTCAACACAAATAAGAGAGCAGACAACACGGACTTTCTTCTTCAGAGGTGTGCTAGACATCTAGCTTGTAGGACAGATATCCCAGAGATGTTGGGAATACAGGCAGCATGATATCTGGAGTGACACTGCTGGTGCTCAGCATGACAGTGGTTTGTCCTGTGATCCTCATAAGGAATTAAACCTCATACCATGTTGAACTCTACTTGCTACAAGCTGTAATGCTTTAGTTTGAGGCTTACCGAGGATTGAAAGGAGGGCAACCTGGACTGGAGAATGATAGGGATGTAAGGAGTTAACTTTTTTAAGCAGGTAGGCAAGAACAGTTTATAGTGCTGACGGATGGCTAAATACCATAGCACCACTCTTGATTTATTTGCTTCTCTTATGCAGCCTTGAATTTCAGAGGGAGACAAGAGGCTTAATTTAGCTAAAGGAAGAGCACATTTGGGACTTCTGCAGCTCAGTCGTTTCCTTGATCTGCAGAAAAAGGCAGAGGAGCTGTGGGGGGCAGCATTGTCAAGTGCACCCACCAGTGCTATCAGTGCAATTTTTATTTCAGCATAATTGAAAGAAGACAATTATGACTCATTCAGTTAAATATAAGATATGGAAAGGGCAACGTAAATACATGGAAATAATAATGGTGCATTGCATTTCAGATGAAAGAAGAGAGCTGATCTATTGCCAACACTTATGATATGAATCATAAATTTTGCAATAGTTGATACTCCTTTAGTAGCCTTTATTATGGAAGTAATGCTAAAACACAGGGGATTTTCTGGTTTTGTTTCATCTGCAGCAGCTTTGCAGATTTATTATGGAAATGAACTTGGAAAATATGAGCCCTGCAGAAGGCAAACAATAAAAGAAATGAGGAAGTTTATTCATTTTCCAAAGCTTATTACTGTTACTTCAGCCCTGGAATTCTGAAATTTGGTCTTGCAAAGGTTTGGGAATGGACAAGCATTGTGATAAAGGAAACAAAAGACAGACAATAGAAGACAGATAAAGAAAAGAAGACACAGGTAGATGTCACACCCCTGAAGCTAGCAAAGATATTTTAATGTAACAAAGCATTTGAGAAATGTATTAGGCCTGGAGATGCTGGTCCTGTATTTGCTGTCCACTGTACCAAATACTCTATTTTCAAGGAAAAAAAACACAGTTTCCTCATAGATTTTACCATCTAACTGTAGAACAATAATCTAATATGTTGATGTAAGCAAAATAATGGGATGTGAAGCACAAAGGAATGCTGAGGTAGTCATGGACAGCATAAGTAGCCATGGTCCAGAATGTCAGGCACCTATTTCTTAGGATTTTGGAATTTTACTCTGAGTTGCATCAGCTATGCTTTTGTCATAGTCCCTCTTTCTTGACTCCTTTTGATTTTTTCAGGTAATGAACTGCAATCCTTGCTGTATTTCAGGGGAAACAAACAAATGTATATGTAAAATATGTTTGGAAATTATTTGCAGTACTACTTGAGTTCTCACTGAGCTGAGTCCTTCATCAGAAGCTAATTTAGAGAAGTGATTACTACACATGTCCACTGGGGCCCTCAACATGGACTTATTTCTAATAATTAGTAGTAACAAAAGCAATACATAGTAAAAAAGAACAGCATTATACTTACATAATGGGTTAAGGTTTTCTTTTTCTAAACTAGTTTCAGATCCTCATTTTTAAAACTTTTATTTTTTAAATAATTTGATGGGGTAAAATGCATTATATATTTCTGGTGATTCTAAATATGATTCAGGTTTCACCTGGGGCAGACAGGCACTGATTATTTCATGCTTTTGCTGCCTGTTCTACAATGGTTCTCTTGAAACTCCTGGTATTGCCTCTGTTATTTGCCAATATCAGTTCCCAAATCACAGAGAGCTTTAGGGTAAACTGCACACCCCAAGGACAAGTCAGGGCAGCACCAGAGAGGAGATATTACCTTTTTTACATGTCTCAGGATGAACCTGAGTTCCTTTTCCAATATTTGGATTCAGTGTCCAGCCAGCAGCCCCTGTTCAGTCCACAAGACTGCCCTATTCTGCCTCTCAGTGATAAGACATATGCAGTGTGCAAGGCTGAAGACTAATTTCCTTCTGTCCTGAGAGGATTTTCTGATTTCTAAGGAAGCAGAGTTTTTTCATTCTGCTGAGTTTTTATTTAAAAACTAGTAACATCTCAGAAACAAATTCAAGGACTAGTGTTAATGAGGGATACAATGTCTGAAGCTGTGTTATTTTTAAAGATGGAAAAAGTGAACTGAGGAAAGGTGAAAGAGGAAAGAATAAAATCTCTTTCAGGATGAAAGGACAGAAATATCCAAAGTCACTAGTTTTTAGAAATTTCTGGACTCATTCTCTATGTCCAGTGCAATGAAGGCTGGTAAGTCTAAGCTTTTGCTGCTATTAGAGAATGTGTGACAAGGCAGATCTGCACTTCACTCTCACTGTTTCTCTAGAATGTCTGCTCTAGAAAGGAAGCTTTCAATGCAGAAATTGGATGTAAAACTTGAGGTTTTATTGCAGATGTAATAAAACACTGTTCATGGGATAGTAACAACCCAGAAACATATGACACAGAATTAGTGGTAGTACACTTAAAAGAAGTACTTTAAGGTGTTTAATTTCACTGTTTGTTTGGTAGTTGGGAAAGTAGAATATTTTTTAAAAGGAGGAAATGTTCTGTGGTAAATTGCTCCATCCCTGCTGTGCTGATGGATACCTTGTCTCGCTATTGACTGTAGTGGTTGTGGCTCTAGAATAGGGCTTGCCAAATTATTTACAGTGAAATTAAAAATCCCCTAAAATTCAAACACTTTGAATCCCATTCCAGCTTTATTAAATGGACTTATTTCACAAATAAGAAAATGTTATTTATCTTTTAACTTTCAGAATTAACACTAAAACCAAAGTGAAAACTATGTGACACTCACAGGCCTCAGTATTCCTGCAGATGTATACTTTGCGGTAGGAGATATTTGTGTTCTAAAATGCAAAAGTTGATTTAAATTGAAACTATTTTAATATAATGCAGTGATTTTAGTCCTAGTGTTCAAGTACCACATTAATACAAAATCAATTAAATTAAATTAAATCTGTACCGCAATGCCAACTGTGTTTCATAACATTTCATATATGCTTCTGGATGGCAGACAAGTTTGATTTCTTCAGTTACCTGCCATATAGGACTTATAGCTTGTTTTGTTCAGGGGTAGGCAGGTGGTAGGGATATCAACCATTTGGGAAAGTCATAGGTTGTGAGAAATCCTGTAACGTGGGGTTAAGCTAAGAGTACAGAAAATGAAGAAACAGGAGATGTCAGTGTCACATCAAAACTATTTTGTCAACAGCAGTGTTGTGGAAAGGCCCAGTGCTAAGGATTGGTTTGAAAAGTTCCAAGGGTTTGTTGAAGAGCATCTATTGGGCAAACACAAAAGGAAAACAGAGCAGGAGGACCTGTCCCATATGGAGAAAGTGCAAAACCACTATAGAACAGCAGATGAAAATACCATGATGCAACTATTCTGAAACAAACATGTACTGTAGCCCAGTAATGAAGTACAGCTGAGTAAGAAGTGGTTGATGCTGCCTCTAGATAAATTTCATCACATACTACTGACCTATATGCTTTGAGTTCAACCAAATCACCTTTCTGTCATAAGATGTGAACAGACAGCTATAGATAGTGCCACAATGGCATCATGGTGAACACTCACGTGATTTGCTGGAACTGTATGAGATCTTCATGCTACATTTTATATCATTGACTAAGAGGAGCCAGTGTACTTAACTTTGGAAAGCATTAAGGCATTATATAGCACCTGACAGTATATGATGAGGAGCATTCCTAATTTCCTCATTGGCTTATGGAGAGCAAACCCCACTTACTGCTTTGGCTGCTGTTCTGTCAGATGGTGCTTCAGTACAACCCACACAGGTGGAGTTATGCCAGCAGTGATACCAAAATCCTCTTGGCAACCTGGGCTGAAGGGTAAGAGTAGTAGTGTTTTAGCACATAACCTTTTTCAACTGAGGGCACTTTATTCCCACTAGTAATAAGGCACTGAAGGCATCGCTAACATTGAATCAGGCAGTGTTCTACACTGGTACAACAGCCATGCAGCTAGATGTTGGGCATACAGAATGCTCATGTTGAAAAGAGAAAGCTCATGTTGAAAAAGAGACCCACTAAATGCAAGGTATTCATGTTTCAATCTTTGCTCAATAACGGTTTTATTTACTTATTTTTAGTCATGGATGGCTCTTCAAAAGACTGCTGCTATTACCTGCAAACATCTAGAACACATTTCTCAGGGAAAATATTTATTGATGCCTCTTTTATCAGAAATGTCACAAGAATAAAATAATTTTCCACCACATGAGTTGGCTAAAATACAGGCATCATGACAGGAGCCAATAATTCAATGTAAGATATTGATGGTCACACACGCCGCTTTCCATTTTGAAAAGCAGCATCATTCTGTGAGGCGCATGAACAGCTCATCCATCACTCCTAGCACATTAGGGATCCCTGCTATGTCACAGAATCTCTTTTTGATGTGCTATCACTGTTGTTGGCTACATAGCAAATTACTATATTTAGTGTACTGCCTAACCAAATCAGCTGTTGCTGGTGTGAAAATTGAAATGTTATTTCCTCCTCAATCCTTGCTAGGTTACAGCTAAATATCTGGAGAACACAACTGACAGAACAAAACAATTGCCCAACATAACAGTACAGGACATGAACACTGAGATATATAAAGACCCACATGATGCTCTCCACAAGTTAACACACAGTTAATTGCCTTTTAATTTCCTACTGAGTTTTCAGGTGTATCCAGCAGTGCCAGTTGCAGCATCTTACGAAGGCCACTCTAGAAGAGACAGCTATGCTCATAAGCGCACCACTTTTATTCTGCAATTGCCTTTACTTCCCTTTTTCTCCATTTTGTTAGCTATGACTCCAGCTATCTGCTGTGTTTGATTTGTGTTCTGGCATCCTCTCACTGAACTACAATAATCAATTTTTCTCACTCAAATGAAGTGGCTGCTTATCTAACAGACTTAAATGTGCTTATTCCAAATTGAAGCGTCTGTTCTGATTCAGGCACAGTGGCTCTGATTTATCAGAAGTATTTCAGCTATCCTTACCTTTACATTTTTATAAGCACATATATTAATCCAGTTCCTCCATTCTCCTGATGCCTTACTCTTTCCAGCTGTTCTGCAGGTACAGGTACAACTTGAGTTTCTGTCACTCTTCTTGGGCTGGATGTTCTTCCAGTTCATTAAATAAGCTGCACCTCTCTGCCAGTCACTGCAAGGATGTGAAGCAGGAAAAAAACTTAAACATGGTGGAAACCTGCAGACAGAAGACACCAAGGAGGGAAGGGGCCCTAACCTTATTATACATGCTTCCCATGGGTACAAATAGCTAATGAATTGGCATGTGACAGTATATAGCAGAACTTCCTCCTTTTTTTCTGTCTCAATGTTTCTTATGTTTACCTTTATTAGAACTGGTTGAATTTTTTTTTCCAGTGGCCTGTTTCCATTTCAGAAAAGACGGAAGTTTTTATCAAAGACTAATTTTGGGGTATGTTAAGTAATTAGCTTCCTGAAGGTGCTATAAATGTCTTTGTAGAAGATTAAGAACCGAATCAAAGATGTATTTAATCTAAAAATCTCCTGAGAAAATATTCAGTAAAAAGCTGATGTGAAGTTATTTGAGGGAAGAAATTTCCCTGTTCAACCCAAATACAGACATCTTGGTTTTTATCTCTTATCCGTCTGTTCTTTTCTGCTGGTGAAAAGGAAAATAATTATGGTGACTTTAAAATGTAGATTTCTCTTTCACTGCTGAGTACTTCATCTCATTAAATTCTTGGAGGGGTAAAGTCAGAAACATATTTTCATTTTAATGTTTCTCTTCTTTACTCTTTTTGTAATTGTTTAATTGAAAAACTATGCCAGCCTTTGGTATTCAAACTTCAAGTCTTGAAGAAGAATCCTACAGATGATGAATACTGCATGAATACTTGCAGTGCTAGAATATGCAGTTATTAAGTTGGATGTGAAGAACCTGCCTGATCCAGCAAACTTTTGTGTTACAAACTGAGATATATTTCTAATGGAGTTCTGTTGAAAATTGTACTGTTAAGCCCCTTTTACGGACATAAAGTGAAAATAAACACTATTCATAAATGTCACTTACTTAAAACTCTCTAAGACAACAGAAACAAGGAGCCAAATCTTAAGTCACTGTAGCACTTACAGAAGGTAACATAGTCCTCGGGCTCTGCAGTGAGAACTCTCCTGTCCATCTGAAATCATATAGAAGTCAAAGAGTCTTTGCTCTTCATTAAAATGGACCAGAATAAGAAAGGGATTGAATTAGTGCTTCATCATTATTGAATCCCCAAAGATTTACACTACAGTACACTCAAGGCACAGTTGGTTGCTTCTGTTAGTCAACAGTTAAAGAACATACACATTATGAAGCACAATTCCGAATCCATTAGTAAGGCATAGGAATACGCAAAATCTTTATTTGGGTAAGAAAAAACCCAGATGTTTAAGGGCTTCACTCGCTTCCTTTAATAGCATGATTAACCTGTGTCTTTTAGCTCACATGGCACAGAGCTAAACAGAAAGACCACAAAACAGGAATTGAGCCACTAAGAGCATGGCAACTTCAGAGGTACATCATTTATGCAGTCCTCTTCACACTGAGGTTGTTTTTCCCCTGTGTTTCTTTTCTTTTCCACCTGGAGCAACACCAAGCAAACAACTGAAAGACTGCACAGTTGGCTAGGGGTGAAGCAGAGGTTCATGCAGGCTGTGTCTTTTCTCCAGTTGTACTGTAATCTTCATGGTGCTTTGGGGCAATGCTCTGGAGGTATTTTGCACAGGTTAATGATATTTTCAAATAAGCAGGGAATATGACTCATAACCTTAATGCAAGTACAGTGTTCTCTGAACTTAGGAGACATGCAGTAATGCAAATTGAGGCGGGAAATGGAGAAGCTCAAATATTGCTTCTTCAAATACATGTTCTTCCTCTCCTAGTGTGTGTCTTTCTTCCCAGACAGTGCTATGGCCCAGCAAGGCAGAGCAGGCTAATGATAAGACAGAAAATATGTGAGAATGTTTGATCCACCACAGATTAGCAATGTGTTTTTTTTCCTCACACAAAGGGAGAGAAAAACAGAAAAACAGAAAAAATTATGCCATATTCTGACTCAAGAGATACCAGCTGTTGAAGAAGATTTGAAAAAAATAAAGTAGCAAGACAAAAAAAAAAAAAAAAATTATGCATCTACCTACTTTAATCTTATTTTTCAAGCACTCTGCTAATTATTTTAGTGGATGAACAAAATTTTAACCCCCCAAAAAGAAGAATCCTACACAGGTTCCTTCCCCCTAATTCCTTTGTCTTTCAAATGCAGATTTTGTTTCATTAGGCATACTCTTTTCATTAGGACACATACATAAATTAATACTGTCCAGAGATATTATCTTAATCCTGAGGTCAGCTCTGCCATGTTATTTCTTCAGGGCTTATTTTCCTGGCTGTAATGCCATGCTAATATTTCTACCTGGTATGCTACAGCTGCATTAGGTTCAAAAGCTTGTTTTGTTTCTCTCTCAATGTCAGCTAGTGTCAGGAGGCAACAGTTCTGCTTTTCCTCCCTCTTTTATCTTTCTTGTGAAAAAAAAGAGAGAGCACTTTATTATCTCACTTTTTCTTTTCTTTTCTTTCTTTTTTTTTTTTTTTTTTTTTTTTTTTTTTTTTTTTTATTTTTTTTTTTTTTTTTTTTTTTTTTGGTGGGGATAATAGATAAAAAATTGTAGGATACCCATATTCTTCAACCTATAAGCATACTCAAAGTAGGTAAATTACCAGTGCAGCAAAATTATCATTTACATTACTCCAACAATATTTAGTCACAGATTTGCTCCTGTACAACAGGAAAAGAAAAGAAGACAGTTGTTTACACTGACAGTTGTTTATACTGACAGTCACCCCTGTGAAAACAACAGGCAGTGGGCAAGAAAGGGTTTCTACAGCTGTGATTGTGGGAGCATAGCCCTACCCAGGCCATAGCACTGCCAGCACTCACATTCCCTTAAACAAAATAGTCTCCCTTTTTTTTTTGCCTCTTCTCTTTCTATCTCCTTTGTATCTTCCTAAATTTTAACTACTCCATGAGTAAAGTCATATTTGACAAGTGAATGAACAAGAAAAACTTTTGCTCATGAGTTCATTCCTCTTTCCAAGAAGACAGCATTGCTGGGTAACCAGACTCCTTGTATACACAGTAGTAGTGAATAAACATGGTATTCTGACTTCTGTTAATGAATTTTGCAGTATTTACTCTAACATTCCTTTGGGAAAGGAAGGCACTTCCCAGTGCATCCCCACATGCAAGTTATTAAAATCTTTATGTTTGTAACTGTACATTTCTGAAAAAATCCACTTGCATGATAGTATTATGACAGATGAAACTTGATATCAGATCATATTAATATTTTTGAAAAAGTTCACATATGCAGTGTGCTGGCAGAATTACTGCTACTGGGTATATAGGAAGTGACTGTATGTACATTATCAAAATTTTCTGGTTTCTGCATCTGCATAAACATGCAGAGCACCAAATCAAAAATTGCTGCCAAACAGTAAATGGCAGAGCAGAGAAATGAACTGTGCAGAAGAGGCACATGATTCAGAGCACTAGAGAAATGTATTGGTTACACTACAATGGCAACTGTCCTGCCCTGAGGACAGTTGCCATTGCAATTCTTCTTTCAGGAAGAATTTGACTTCTGGAAAGTCACAGTTTAGTTGAAGGGGATGCTAGTGAGAAGTGGGAAATTCTTAAAAATAGCACCAATGCAGACTAGGCTGCTTTGTCTGATTCAACGTTGTGAAACTGCTGATTTTGACTCCTTAGGTTTGACTGAATTTTCACAAGAAATGCTTCATATGCTTGGACTTATTGGACTCTGTGCATCCATCCAACCATTTCAGATCTCTCTGCAGAGCCCTCCTACCTTCCAACAGATTGACACATGCTCCTAGCTTAGAGCAGCTATGGAGCAATGCCAGTTGGTGATCTGCTGAAAGGGAACAATAGTTGGTGGAGGTTTTGATTCTACAATGTACAGGAAGGAGGGTAGTGATGATCTGTAAAAATTTGTTAGCTGGTCTTCTTCTCCTTAGGCAGAGAAACATCACAGGGTCTACCATGTCTGTAATTGCCTCATACCATGGAAAAGACAGGATTGACCCTAAAGTGAATAAGGGCCTGCACTAACTATTAAAATCATGCCAATTCTGCAATGATTTATACATTACATTCTTCAAAGATAAGAAAGCAACTAAGCCTATTGATGGTATATATATTGAATGACATTAATGTTCCTTACATATCCATTTTCTTCCAATAATTCTCCACCAGAAAAGGTAAAAATGTAGAGTCTAATTAGATCTTGCTCCTGTCTGCAGAAAAAGCCAAAAAGCTTTGTCTTAAACCATTTGTGTGTGATTCTCTTCTCACACCCTTGAAAAATATAGTTTTGGGAACTATAGCTGAAGTTCCTCATGTCTTTTGCTACCAGTTGGAAGATCAGCCTGCACTGCACCATGGGTCTTTGTCTTTTGCATAAAGCTTTGCCTAAAGTTTGCCTGGAAAATTAACTTATTAGAAGATACTGAAGGTAGAAGGTATTCAAACTACTGTTAAACTGTTAACATACACTGAGATTCCAAACCAACCATATTATTTTAATATAGCCTCCTGATCTAGGGTCAAAAGCTTTTGCTTTCCAAGTGTTTAGTTTTCACACAAAATACCAGATTTCTTGACAGAAAAAGATATTTTCCCAGTGAAATGTTGTCCAGTGGTGAAACAATTTTTCAACCTCAAAGTAAAACATGCCTGGCAAATTTCTAATAAAACTCTAATCAATAGCAATGTGTCTTTGCCAGGACATTCACCTTGGTCTAGCCTAAGGGACACTATTACAGAGTTGAATTCCTTCTAGTTTAGATATCTGAGGAAGTTATGGACCAGGGTCTGTAACTTGCCCTCTCTTTTTCTTCCTTCCTTTCTTCAAAGACCTACTGGGAATGCAGGGAATGCAGTTGTCTGCACCTTACAATTTTGCTGTATGGTGGTAGAACAGCTTTGGCTCTCCTAGCAGGAGTCGTAATAGGACCGGGGGACAGATCTGGGACTTTCTGACCACCTTTCTTTCCTGACAGCTCTTGTGAATCTGGCTGGAGCCACAGTACATTGCTTGCTAAGGTGAAATTCTGGCTCCCTGAAAGCAAATGGCAAAATTCCAGTAACTTCACTCCAGCCAGGACTTCATCCTCTGCATCTAGCCCACAACTTAGCAGAGAGCACTTTACCTGTGCCAGTGTGTGTCCTCCCCATCCCAATCAGATGTTAAACATGTAGTACCTGGCATTCCCTTCTGTGCTGTGTTTGTTATCAGAAACACTTCAGTATTTTGGCATCTGGTGTCAGTTTCCTTTCTAGTTTACTGCTTAGCAGCCAGCCTGAGCCTATCAGAAAGGTGTGCTTTATTAGGATTTTGTAACTAGGTACATCTTGTACCTTGTACTAGCGTTAGTTTGGTCATTTGGGTCAGTGTTCATACACAGACCTACACCCATCAAAGGGTGCATCTGAAAGTTCATCTCTTGTAGCTCAGGTCACAGGCTATCTCCCCACCCCAGAAATGACAAGCACCATTGCATAAGCATGCTCAAAAATTATGATTCAAGGGTAAAAGAAGAACAACAACTTGATCAGAACTAAGCACAAGAAGTATGTTATCAAGGCCACAAACTCCCAAATAGCTTTGAAATGAAGTTTCCTAAAGTCATTAAAGACTAAAGTACCCAGAGCTTCTTTTGTTGGAGTCCTGAATCAAAAAGAAAAGAAAAGAAAAAAACAAAACAAAAACCCCAACAACAACTCCCTCCCCACAAAGTTCAGAGCAGAAAAATTAACCCTGGGAAAATCTGGAAAGCCTGAGATTATACCAGACATTCATCCTCAAGCTGATTTTTTTATACAATCCTGTGTTGTGCTCAAAACAAAAATCTGAGAATACTCCTTAAAGCAGAAAACAAAGCTCTGCTCCAGCCATACATCTGTGAGTTTTGAAACAAAGGTTTGTTTGTGTGCCTCAATCACTCTTGCCTATGAAAGCAGACACTTACTTGAAAAACTTTTCAGGGAAACACTCTAAACCAACATCCTGGTATAAATTTGCAAAATGCAATACAGGCCTGATTGTCTTTGGAGAGGATGCAGGCCGCATACGAATAGCTCTTTCTGAAACGTAATGTTCTTTGCATGGCTCAGTGGCTAATGTACAATAAATCAACAAAAGAGCGCTTCAAGAAAGCTATTGGGCAGCAGCAAGGCCACTGTTATTTTATCTTTTTACAGTATTTAATTGGAAGTTTTTTCCTGAAACTTTACCCAACCTTCAAATTACTAGACTCTGTATAAGAAGAGATTGATAAGATGAATTTTTTTTTCACGGGTTTTTTTTTCCATCTCCTTACAAGAGAGCAAGTTTTTGCCGAGGGAGAATAAAGTTACAAGTGTCTAGCATTTTGCTGAGGGAGAATGAAATTAGATGCTGAATGGAGCGGATAGGAAAGGCTGGGAAAATGCAAAGTTGGCAGTCATACCAGGTCAGTCTAGAGCTCCCACTGTCCTTCTACTGCACCAGGTGTCCGCTGCATTCAAATGATACTATTATTCATAGACTGAAGCAGAGTATTAAAACTCCCCCCAAAAATAATTTGCAACTGAATAAAGATATAATCCTGGAAATATAACTCTCCATTAAGGGTCCCCATTAGCAACACAAGAGCCCCATTGTAAAGGAGTTATGTATATTTATCAAGTTAAAAAAAAACACAACAACAACAAAAAAAACTTCTCTCAGTGCTTACATGTTAATAGAAAACTTTTATAGCCCTAGTCTCGGAACTAGTAATGCATAAAATGTAAAGCATCTATTATTCTTTGGCAAACTATTTAACATTTGACAGGGAATTGCTAAAACTTGAATAGTGTTCTAGCAAAGGATCGGATAATGTGATCTCTGCTAACTAAGGGGCTGCCATGGAGCAGGCAAGGGAAGTGAGACTTCATATTTTAATAGTTTGCAAGCTGCTTTAAAGAAGGTTTTTGCTGACTTCTCCTTTCTCTTGTAGAAAAACGGGTCCTTTCGTTTGCAGATGGTTTCTCGTACACAGGATCTTACTATACTCCACTAGAAATAGGAATACTGGAGGTCCAGGGAGATTTATCCCCCTGCCACCGGGTTCCTTGTCTAGCCCCCGCCCCTCTAAACTTTAAGTCCTGTTCTCACCCTCCCACCACAGCCCTCCCTTCAGATGTCTCACTCTGCAGAGGGGTGTGATTTGAATTATCTTTCCAAAGGAAATGAATGCTGAAAGTTAAACTCCTTAATGAAGCACACATGAAGCCTTTGCCTATCACTCTGGGAAATGAACCCTTAAAAAGTAGAACTTAACCACCTGATAGATTCAGGAGAAAGGTTTCCCACCCACAAGCTTTCCTTCACTATGAAAAAACATACCTTCAGTGAAAACAACAGTGAAACTAATAGCAGTCAAGACAGAGCAAGGATTCAGCATTTTACTTACCCTGTTGGGAAGTGCAAAAATTATTAGAAGCTCCTTTCAAACCATGCCTGACAACAGGATATTTCAGGAGAGAATTTTGGTTTTATGGTAGTGCCTTATTTGAATGCTATTGATTCTGGAAGATTTTACAGAAACATTAATATACAGATAGAAACAAAATGTTAAAATGTGAATTCAAATCTGCCTTACCCAGGAAACTCTCCTTCTCTCTCACTAGCTCTTTTATAGTCACCAGTGATTCTCTTTTAGCATTGGTATGAGCCTGGCAGTATAAAACCACCACCAAATAAGAGCTCAGAACCTTTACATATCAATAATTTTTTCTAATACACAAAAATGCACAAAAATATCCCATTTTTAGAGCTACACTGTGCCATTCTATCAGGAAAAGAGAAGAAAGAATAGAAAGCAGACGGAAAAACATGGAATCAATGTTTTCAAAAACAGGAAAAAAAGCATGTCTTGCTTCTAGCCTCCTAATTTTCACATACATGGGCTTAGCATTCTTGGGAGAGAGACAAGAAGGTCTTGCAGATGACCATAAAAAAAAAGGCCAAAATTCTATGTAAGTGGACACAAACATGGCCTCTAACACTTGAATAGTGTGAACAGCAGAGCCTGAAACACAGGGTGTGTAAGTGCATATTAATTTACTTATTTAATGCTGTTATTGCAGCTGGGCATGAAATAGACCCCTCATTCCTAACAAGGCATGATGCTTTCAAGGGTAAACAAAGGGTACACTCACCTTGGGGAGACTTGCCTAGTTTTTGGGTTCCCTGCCAAACTTTGCAGTAAAATAAGAAAATGTCATCCGTTAGTAAGAGAATAAACCACTATTGTTTTTTTCAGGCTGGATTCAATCCTGTTGTACTGGCCTGCTGAGGATAACTATCTCTCATTCTCAATGCATCATTTTCTACTAGAGCTGTTGTTTTGTGACCATTCCCATCCCTTGTCCATGGAGTGTCTTACAATTTTTTATGCACAAAAAGTGTTTTGTTGAAACAAAAGTTGAAAGTGTTGGTGATTCAGTTGTTTAAGCAGTGTTGAGAATTTAGACATGAAATCTCAGCATTGTGACACACTGGTTCCTTTTGGAAAACAGAGACTGAGGCAACACTGGCTGTGCATATGTTAGGGGGTATGGGGGAAGAGGAGAGGAAAGAAAGAGGGGAAGAAGGAGGCAGGAGGCCCAGACCATCAGGCTTTGCAATGTACTTATATTTTCAAATATATTTAATTGTAATTAATATATAAAGAAGTCTGTGTTGAGCTGAGCTAGCAATGCTACTCCTTTAATTCAGCCAGTGCATTTGTACGTATTAAAAACATTACACAGCAGGGGCTATAATTTCACATGCTGCCATCTCTAGACCACGACAGCAAAACACAAAAGAGACAGCATGTATGCTGTACCCCTGCATGTCATGTAAAACAAGGAGGCTGCCTATAGTATGTGTGTGTGCACTGAGAGGTCCAAATGCAGCTCTTCTGAAATTTTAATGCTCTCATAAAAATAAACAAACTTCAGCAATATACAACATGATTCCAATTAGTAGCTCGATCAGAATAACTTGGCATTGTCTACTGGCTTTATACCAGGCAGCCAGCGAGATGTCAGATGGAGGAGTCCATTCTCCTCTCTGTGTGTGATCAACTCCCATTACTGGTAATGGAAGCCACATACACATAAGGGAATAATATACCCCTTCATGAGAAAAGCTCTCCTGGGTGAATTGAAGGTGTATAATGTTGTGGGTGTTTTTCATTCCCTGTCTCTACTATTGTGTTTCTCTTCAGCCCATTCAAATTATTTCATATGGACAAGTGGCACACAGTGTTTGGTCCTGTTTTCATTAAATCAATAGCAGAACTCAATTTTGCCTCAGTGTAAGCCGAGCTGAGTCCAGAAGTATCCTTTGCTTCATTTTTCAGAATTATTCCTTTCTTTCAGAAATCATTATCAGCCTTTTACCCTCTTCTTTGCCTTTGGCTGCAGATTTAAATGCATTTTAACTCTCAGGTCAGATTTCTTCTTGTGTAAATAAGACCAAGAAGGTTCCAAATTTACAGAAATGCTACTCATGGAAGACATTAGCACTGTGTATGAACTTCCTCTGTAAACATTTTGGGCATGCCTAATTATCTATATCCTCCAGATTTCTTGTGTCATAGTGTTTTGATAAATTTGCCAAGCAGAGAATAAGTAGGGGAGAAAAGAACATAAAATCCAAATGACAAGACAAGTGATGAGACAGGTAGAATCTTTCTGATTCACCAGAGAGATGTACTAGAAAAAGAAAGGAAACAAAACATGTAGTCATGAGTGTCATCAAAGCTGCATTGTTCATTATTTCAAGCATTTCCTGATTGCTTTCCATGCAACATACATTCCATGCCCTGGTTAAGTGCATCAAGCACAACCATAAACAATCTTATATCTTATTTGCAAGTTGTCTCAAAACCCATGTGACATAAAAGTTGATTAAAAAGCTGTGAAATAACCTACTGATATCCCTTGAATTCTCTAATACTGCAAGGCTTTGTCTACATTAAAAAGGCACTAGCAGGTCTGCAGAGCAACAGAGCTGATGATGAGGAATGTGTGTTTTTGGGACTTTTTTCAGAATAACTGTAACCTTGTCCCAGAGACTAAAAGCCCATTAATTTAGCCTGAGATGGTCTGATAGATAACTATAGTTCTCTAATAAAGTGTTTTAGATATCAAAATTTTTTCCTTGAGTCCAGTAGTAATTTCGATGGTTATAATTCTTTACCTAATAGATTTCAGTGCTCTTTATATATTTTTCAATATGTGCAATTGCTGTTTTCAAAGTATCTTTCTTTCCTTTTTGTTTCCTCAGCTTCCAGTTATCCATAAGATTTTACAACACCTGGGAAACTCAGATTCTTCCAGACCTGCTGGCCCAAGGCGGGTCTTCTAGAACTGAAAGATATTTTAATTTTCATCATATTGTGATAGGGTAAAACATCCAATTAAGTTTAAACTTCTGATATGAAAGAGAGTGCAATGTGCTTTCCATATTTACTTTATCAAAAACTGGTGTTGCTTACTAAAACAGCAGCAGAAAAATCAGGCAAACAAATCAGGTTCCTAATTTCATAGAATGACAGTATTTTAAATACTCTTTAAAAACCAAAATTCATTAGCATGGAAAACGCAGTACTCATTATCCTCTTTTATCAAATACATTGCCATATACATTGAACCTTTTAAAAATTTTATTTCATAGCACTAGAGCTATCAGATCCCACCAACTTTCTTCAAAATGGAGAACTGAAACTGCATCATACCTGATATGGAAAAATATTGCTTTTCCCACTTCTATATCCTGTCAGCAGGCCTGCCTCTGACTGTGACTAAAATGGGCCACCTGAAACAGAGTATATAGTTAGTTCAAACTACATTGGGGTTAAAGGGAAATTTCAAGTGGTATTCCTACCAAAGGTCAAGCTCTCCTGTCTCCACTTAGCAATTAGTTTGCCAAAAGCACTGAAGACATGTAAGTCTCACTTCAGAAGAGCAAAGTTCTCATGGCACATACAGCAAAGGAATGAACAAAAGTCATGCTGGATGCTGCAAAACCAAATGTGTGTATTTTAGAGATAGAAGGAAGCATCTTCTGAATTCTGTTTCATGAGTGCAGCCGGAAAGCCGGAATCTGGTTATAAAAATCCAGTGGATGTCTGGTTTTCACACAGTGGCAGATGCCATGGACTGAATGGAAATAAATTTATGGAGAAGATTTATGTAGATAGATAAATTTAGCTAGAAGATTTCGAGCATAGTTCCCATTTTTTGAATGGTGCCTGTGAAAGTTTGGCATTTGACTTGAAATACATTCAGAAAAATGATTCCGACATTAATTTTTCTGTCCAGAAAACTGAAATTCTGAATGTGTGTGTGTGTAAAGTAAATTTTAAAAGTCTTTCACAAGTAGCATATTCCTATTTCAGTGGTTTCCCCACATACATATAAAACCCCTAAATATTTTGTGGTTCATACTTCTAAAGCTTAAAATCTACATGGAACATCTTGAGACAACTCTTAGACAAGGATGCATAAAATCAGTGAGAACTAGAGTAGCTAGTACAAGCACTTTACTTGTTCACTGGACCTCAGGCAGATGTGGGGATAAAACTGTCAAGTCTGAAAACACAAAGAGAAATATTGCTATTTTCTATTATTCACATTCTTCCCATGAGCTGTTTGCTCAGTTGCCATGGCATAGGCGGTGAGATTTTATAATTTTTCCCCTGTCTGCCATGTGCTCATACAACAATGTGAATTTAATCAGTCCAGACAGTTGGTTGTGTTTTGTCCATGTGAGTAGAATAAAACTTTTCTCACCAGCTAAACCCACAAAGTATCTAAAAGCCATAAATAATCAGTAACTCCTATGACTTGCACCTGCTTGCTTTATTTGACCAAGGATACAGAAAGGCTCATATAATGAACAGTGTTCCCAAGCATTAATCACCTCTGATTGCTTATAAAAATCAAAGTAGATGTTATGCTTAAAATATCAGATGCATTTTTAAGTTTCTTTCCTGTACCTAGATTTTAGTCAGGTCAATGTTGCAGCCTTATCTCCCTCTGTAAAATGCTTGTTTCAAAAATATTTGATGGGGAAAAGGACAAGGTCTGGGTAGCAAATAAATTTCTAGTCACCTATTAATCATACCAGATGTATTCTTGTAGTACATCCTAACCAGCAAAAGGAAGTGGGAAAGATAAAAAAAAAAATGCTGGAGAGAAACTATAAAACGCTGTGCTGTAAGAGAGATCTCTGCCAAGCTTATGCAGAACCAAGTACAAGTATGTGCCAGCTTGTACAAAACAATACAACTTTATTTTGTATAGCGTCTTTCATCCAAAGTGTATCCCAAAACCACTTTACAGGAGTTAAACAATACAGATACAGAGATAAATAATAGCAGAGGGAGAGCAAAATTAACAGATATGTGCAAGTCAGAAAAGATATATTTTCAACAGAGATTTGGAATGAGAGCTTTATAGGAACACTGGAGTGTTTTCGTTTTAGCATTTTTCTAAACAAAGCTTAGCAATGTCTATAGAGATACAAATCAGAGGAAAAGTGGTAAATGCCAGGAAATTCAAAGGTACGGCTTCATTAAGTCCTGCAGGTTCAAA